AGTGGGAGGGGCAGGGGAAAGGAAAGAAGGGAAAGGAAAAATGCTGAGAAATGGAAAAAATGGAAATAAAGTCTTTGTAAATAGGGAAAGGTGGAGGGCGTGAAGGGAGGGCTGGGAATGGGGAAAAAATAAGAACCAAGATGCATTATGTAAAGGTACAGTTCCCAGTGAGAAATGTAATTGTGTTGCATACCTAAAATGTACCAATAAAAGAATTTTACAAAAAAAAAATATGATGACTCTTCTAAGTCATCTTAATTGCTGCTTCTCAAAACAATTTAACCACTCTGAAATATGCCTTTTTTATAAACTTATTGCTCTATTTTATAAAAAGTACTTATTAGAGAACCACTAGAGGTTTTTAAACAGAGAAGTAATATAATGAGATTTGTGGTTTTGCAACAATTTTGGAATATATGTTGAATATCCCTTTTCCAAAATGCTGAGGACCAGAAGTGCTTCATACTTCTGAAGTTTTGAAATTTAGAATATTTGCACATCCATAAATATCTTGGCAATGGGACCTAAGTCTAAATATGAAATTCATTTTTCATTTATATACAGTTTATACATGCAGCCTGAAAGTAATTTCACATAAAATTTATATCTTTTTAGATGATTTCAAACCTGCTTCTATTGACACTTCTTGTGAAGGACACCTTGAAGTTGGCAAAGGTGAACAGGTGACAATAACTCTGCCAAATATAGAAGTAAGTATTTCTATACATTATCACTAAAATGGTCTTTTTTTTTGCTGGATTTCCACTAAATTTAAATGAAAACAATTATACAGTTCATGTATTAATGGTTGGTTTATTAATAAGCATAGAAGAGCAAAAATACATATTTTCAACTATTTTGGATGAAACAGTCTTAAAATACTACTATCCATTTAATGATTTTAAGAGCTGTCATAGCAAATGATTTTTTTTAATGGAGAGCTGAACAAATACTTATTAAATTCTGATGAGCTAGATTTTGTATTCAGAAGTTAGGACAATTATATGTCCCTTACCTCTTAGTTCTAGTTTGTTAAAGCATGCCAACACAAAAACACTTAGTGGTTTAAGTTAGTGAATATAAAAATTCTGTGCAAGCACATAAGTGGAAGCAAATTCTCTCCTTGATGCAATCTCAAAGTGCTTCACAAAGCAAACAATAATTGAGCTGAGCCTTGAAAATACAAGTGGGATTTTGCAGGTAGACAAGGAGTGGGATTCTCTAATTAAACAGAACAGTATGTGAAAATCTGTAATACTGAAAGAATAGTGAGTTTGTGCAACAAATAACTTTATCTTAATCACAATATAATGAAAAATGATTAGCAGACAGAAGTTAGAACAGCAGGTTGGGATCAGATTGTGAAGGATCTTTTATGATGTAATATAGAATTTGGACTTTATCTTATAGATATTCAAGAACTATTAGAGGTTTTAAAGCAAAAAAAAAATGATTAGATTTGTGATATTGGAGGGATTTCAGAGTATCCCTTATCTAAAATGCTAGGGACCAAAAGTGTTTCAGATTTTTAAATTGTTTGGATTTGGGGATATTTGCATATGTATAACGAGCTATCTTGGGGATGAGACCAAAGTCTAAGTCATTTATCTTCCATATACACCTTATACACATAACCTGAAGGTAATTTTATATAACATTTGTAATAATTTTGTGTATGAAACAGTTTCAGGGTGTAGAACTTTCCACTTGTGGTGTCAGATTAGTGTTCCAAAACGTGAGCGTTTTGGAGGATTTTGGATTTTCAGATTAGGGATAGTCAATCTATAGTTTGAGAAATGAGTTGTAAAAAAAAGACACTAGGTCATGGAGGCCTTAACCAAAAGTTTTGCCCATTTTTGTTTCCAAATGTATCCAAACAACACTACTAGATAGTAATTGCATAAAATACAAGTTATGTGTTACATAGTCTAATTTCCTGTCCTTGAGTTAGAAGTTTCTTAGTATTCAGATTTTTTATTTTCTTTTATTCTGACTTCATCTATCCTCAGGGAAAACCAAGATTATAATTGTATACTGTTACATATAAAGAAAATCTTAAACTGTTTGAGATTTAAAGGAGATTTTTATAGTAGCAATAGTTTTGTGCTAATCTCTCATTTTCTTTTAAGCCTCAATGAGATGGCTTATCATAGGTAGAGTTATAATAAACTCTCCATTCTCTAGTCTTTTTTTTTCTTGTTTTTAATTATTCAACATCATTTATTGAGACCTCAGTATTATGTTAGACTGTAAATACTTCCTAAGACTAAAATATAAGTAGCTTCTATTTGTCATTTGCTTCCTTAAAAACTGAAGGAAAGGAAAAAGCAGATCGGTCTGAGGTGTTGGATAAGTTAATGTTTGCATTATTATTTTTTAAACATTTGTTAAAAAATCTTGTGCTTCTAAAATAGTTTGGAAAATCATCTAGTTTAAGAGAAATTGATTTACTCTTCAGTGCAAAAATGAGTTAATAATTTATTGTATATTTCAAAAAATAGTCTAGAGGTCTTTGAATGTTCCCAGCACAAAGAAATGATAAATTTTGAGGTGAAGAATATGCTAACTACCCTGATTTGATCATTAAACATTGTATACAGCACATTATATGCCATAAATATGTATAATTATTATTTGTCATAAAAATAAAAAGATTAATATGTGAAAAAATAATTTGAAAATTTATTCTGCAATAATAATAAGGCTTCTTTCCTTTATGATGTCTATTAAAAAATAACCTAAACCAGCCACATAATTTTAAAAGTTATTAAAAGTCCTTAACTTGACAACAGAAACTACTAGCCTATTATCTTAGGCTACTGGTGCCAACCTATGACGTGTGTTATTGTGTTTTTCTTTTAAGACAAAAGATGTTAATGTAGAGTTGTTTTTTCCTAAACTAAAACCTCAGTATTCAGGTTTAATTGCAGTGTGGGCACTTTGTGATAATTGTGAGTTTTGGATTGCAGTTTGGCAGTCGGTCTCTAAAAGGTTCACCATCCCTGTCTTGGGCAATAGTATTACTGATCAGTAATGATTAGTTTGCAGAAAAACTTCAGTTGAATTCTTCCTTGCCGTTAGAATCTTATTTTCTCAAATTGCAATCCTCCCATCTGCATCCTTTTCATTGCTCTTTTAAAGGAAATGTGGACTCTTGCATGTATTAATAAACCTTTTCAATTCACTCTTATCCTGCTTAACCAAGAGTTACTATGTACTATGTGTTTGATTATAGTCTCAATTGAAATACTTCTTAAAGAATGACAGTTCTGTCACATCTTGGGGAGGGGTGTACACCAAGGTACTCCACTGCTCTTCTAGAATATGCAGGGATCCTTCTGGGATTGTAAAACTCTCAGCCTCAGTAATGAATTAAACAGGCAGAATTTCAAATAAGACACTTTATTTGCAAAAAAGATGGAAAAGAAAGTGATACAGGATATGATACAGGAGATGAAATATGAAAATATTGTATCTCCCAACCTGTTAGATGTCTGGTATGCCGAACTCATGTTCTTTAAAAATTGAAAATTGAGTTCTGAACAATGGAGGTTAAGAGTAGGAAGATATTTATTGATAGGATAGCTCCTGAGAGGCAGGAGGGGTCCCAAATGGATACCCAGAGACCCCACTTTACAAGGGATTTTTATAGAGCAAAACCCACATGGATACAATGTGAGTTACAGCTGTGATTAACCAGTAAGGTTACAAGTATAGTCACTTAGGTAATAGTGATCCAATTGGGAAACAAGTCACATAACAAGTGTACATGGAAAGAACAAAGACTTCTAGGAAGTGATGGGTCCAGAGGTGTTTGGTCACCCACCAGAGTGACTGATGTCTATCTAGGCTTCATTAGGCCCTTTTAGGAAGTATGCAGGCTTGGTCATTTTGTCTTTATCTTGAGGTCTGGTCTCCAGCAGATGTGTCTCCAGCCACAGTTGTGATGTGTTTTTACCTTTGCCCTGACTTTCTCAAGAACCTAGCTCTGTCTGACTGCCTGTAATAGTTCTATCTAATTTAGCTATCTATAATAAAAGGAGATGGACAGCTACCTTGGGAGGGTAGAGGGCATCAGAGGTGAATACCTGTGGATTTTGTCCTCAGCTCCTTTTTATTTAGGACTAGGGTTTTCTCCCACCCACTCCCATGTGAACACCTCGAAGTTGTCACCATCTGATTGACTCTCTGGCTGTCATTGATTTTAACCTGAGTATCTCCATCTGTATTCTTTCTGGCTGTTTGATTTCTTCCTGTCCCTTTGTGATGGATAAGTGTGGTAGGAGGACCCTTTTAGAAAGGTAACTTAGAGTTAATGATTATATAAAGAGGACATGTGTATTTTATATATTAAACATTTTATTGGGTGAAGGGCTGGTACCTGGCCTTTCAAAATGTTCCTGGCTGCATCTGTTTTGCCTCTTGGATCTTTTCAATAAATTCTTATGTTAATTGTGTTAACTGGTACCTTCCTGGGCCTGGTTTCTCTCTCTCTCTTTCTTTACCTTTCTTTGTCTTTCTAATTCCTGGAGTCTAACTGCAGAGCAAAAGCTGCCTTTAGTAGTCACTGAGTTGCTCAGGCTGGGCTCAAACTGTGATCCTCTTGCCTCAGCTTCCCAGAGTGCTGGGATTGCAGCTGGGTGCCACTATGCCTGGCTGATTAAGAGAATTCTACCTATTCAGTCTATTCACATTTAATTAAAAATTTATATACTTGATTTTACAAATTTATTTTATTTTTGTTAAAATTTTAAGTGAAATAAATCAGAATCACAAGATTAAATATTGCATGGTTTCTCTTATATGAGGAACTCAAAGCATAAATAATTTAAAGAGTAAAATAAAAGATAATTTGAAACAGGCAGATAGATCTATTGCAAATGGGAAGGGGACCAAGAGATAGGGGGAGGTGGGAGGGAGGGGAGCAGAAGGGGAAGTAACAAGAATTAAGGTGTGTTATATACATGCACTGACTGACTCCCCATGGTGAATGCAGTCATCATGTACCGCAAACGTATACTCATAAAAATTTTAAAATAGTTAAAAATTTTATTCTTATTTCAACTTGTCATCTGATACATAAAAACAAAAGGTATATATATTAATGGGGTAACATGTAATGTTCAATACATGTATACGTTGTTTATCTCCTCAAACATATATCATTTCTTTGTAGCGAAAACTATCAAAATCATTTCTTCTAGTTTTTTGAAATGTATAGTACATTATTGTTTTTTGAGGCTACAATACTATGTGATAGTATATCAGAGCTTCTTGCCCCTCTCTTAGTACCTGTTGATGACCATCCCTGCTCCTAACTCTGCCCAGCTTTTGGTAAGCATCATTCTACTCTCAACTGCTATGAGATCAACATTTTTAGATTCAGCATATGATTTAGGTTTACGTGATACTTGTCTTTCTATGTCTGAGTTATTTCACCTGATGATCTCTAGTTCCATACATGTTACAAATGGCAGGATTTCATTCTTTTTTTTAAAATTTTTATTAAATTCTTTTATTGGTACATTGTAGGTATACAACACAATTACATTTCTCATTGGGAATTGTACCTTTACATAATGCATCTTGGTTCTTATTTTT